TGCTCCTGACCTGCTGGCCTTGGACAGAGTCCTCAGAGAAATCAAGTCACCTGCCTGCCTGGTGGGAAAGAGCCACAGAAGCCACTGTGGGGCGCGTGTCCTTCCGGAGCCCTCCGGGTGGGGCAGCAGGGACGGGGGTTCCAGGCCTATGGGGTGGCTCAGCGAGGGGCCCCCAGGGGGGTGCCACAGTCCTTATAAAGACCAGAGGTGTCAGGGACAGGTGCAGAGGGAGGGCAGAGGGGCACCTCCCTGGCCCTGCCCACCCCTCCCTTGGTGGCCCAGTAGTGCCTCACAGTTCAGGCCGTTTCTTCCCCTGCACAAGAGGCCCCGTGGCTCCTGGCCAGGCATTCAAGGTCCCCATGGTGACCTGGCCCCGTTGGCCGTCCCACCCCACCCCACTGACCTCCCACAGCTAGTGACTCAGGGGTTCTCAGGCTGGGGTCCGTGCGTGAATCCCCAAATCTCAGAAGAGTCACTTTAATGACACCAGGATGCCAGCCTTTGCCTGGGTGTCCCCCATCTGAGCCCCTGTCCACCATTCCCGCCGACTCCTGGCACAGCTTGCTGCTGCTGCCGCTCCCCGCCCCCCAAGCCTCGGGCCTCCTGGGCCAGGAAGGGACCTCCTCTCGCCTCCAGCAACCAGAGACCCTCCACTGGGCTCGGGCTGTTCTGCCTTGTCCCCGCCAGGAGCCGGGCAGGCTCCCCAGGGTGGGGGCTCCAGGAGGGCAGCGGACACRCCTCATTCCCATCAGCGTCCACCACTGGTTCGGAGTCAGTCCTGACTCAAATGTCCCCTTTTCAGAGAGGCCCTGACCTTCTCAAATAAAGTCACCCTCCTTGGTCTAATCACATTTCTGGAAAATTCCAACAATACATGGGGAAGCCCTCAACATCTTGCCTCCATTTCTGAGCATCCAGCCCAGCTCCCTCCATCCTCCGGCTGTCTCCAGGGGGCTGCAGCAGAGGCACAAGTATCACGCGCTTGTCACCTTATAATTGGGGAAACTGAGGCACGGGGTCCCCCCAAGGGCATGGAGTAGGGAGTGGCGAGTTGGAACCTGGGCTTGTGTCTCCAGAACTTGCACCCCACCCCACCTGAGCCCAGTTCCTCCGGCTGTAGCCAGAAATGCCTGGATTCCTGCATCACTTCAAAAACGTGCATCTGGTACCTGCTATGTGCCAGGTGAGGACCTGCACCCTCGGTCTCGGTGGGGAACCGAGGAGACAGGATTCCTGTCTTCCAGGAACTGATGTTCCGGATGGGGCGGGGAGGGAGACGCATAGTACATATTTTGTTAGTTAATTTATTTCATCATGTCAGGCCTCGACCCCAGGTGTGGAGAGAATAAGGTGAGGAGCGGAGGGTGAGTCAGGTAACTTCCTGGAGAAGCTGATGTTTGAGAAGAAGGTGAGGGAGGAAGCCAGGGGCCAGAGCATTTTAGCCAGAGAAGACCTGAGCCAGTGCAAAGGACCTGAGGCAGGGCCTCCAGAGACACGGCTGGTGTGGCTGCAGTGGAGGGCAGAGAGGCAGGAATGAGGGACAGAAGCCCTGCCCCTCCCCCAGGAAAGGGGTGGTCCTCCCTTCCTTCAGGGTTCAAGGACTTCGGGGTGGATGGCCCCACTTTGGCACCTAGAGGCCAAAGTGACAAAGCAAAAACATCCCTTAGGACCCACAGTTCTCCATGGACTCCTCTGCGGTCTCCCCTCACTCACTCGTGCCAGCCACATGGGCCTCCCGGTTGTGCCTGCAGCACACCGGGCCTGTCCTGGCCTCAGGGCCTTTGTACCTGCTGGTCTCTGCCTGGAATGCTCTCCTTCCAGAGGGCCACCTGGCTAGCTCCTTCTCCGTCTTCAGGTCTCATCCCTGTTGCTGTCCCCTTCTCTCTGTAAGAACAGCGGCTCCAGGAGCTTCATGTCCTTCACTGCCAGGGCCCCCACCATGTGTCCCAATGCAGAAGCTGGACCAACAAATGACCCACCGCAGACAGGGACGGGAGGAGGAGCCAGCCACAGGGCGGAGGGGGAGCCTACCACGGGACCCCTCTCTAGAGGCAGCCATGGAGCCCTGGGCCAAAATGTGGCTTCAGGAGGCAGGAGGGGTGGGAGAGAAGAGAGTGGGCTCTGGCCAGTCCAGCGTGCGGGACAGCATCCTATTAACCAAGATGGAGTCCGGCCTGGGGAGGACAGAGGCCTCCTCTACCCACTCTGGTTCGTGAGGCTGGATCTGAGGCACCTGTTCAAGGGGCTGAAGAAAAGCCCAAGCTGGGGGGACCGGGAGGGGGGAAAGGGGCGAGGAAGGGAGCCGCATGCAGAAGAATGTCTCCTGGGCCAGTTCCTGTCCCGTTTCTCCAAACCGCCCTGCACCACGCCTCTGCCAGCTGGGCATCTAGTGGCACCCCAAGTTGCAGATGCTGGAAAGAGACGGATTCCACTTAAACCTGCTCCCCCATTATGGCTGGCCTTCCCCGCCTCCCCTCCTCCCCTAGCCACACCGCACTGGGCTCAGCAGGGCCAGCTCAGGAGCCTCGTCTTGCTCTTCTAACTCCTGTCCTCGTCCCTGCCCCCCAGTTTCTTCCCTGGGCTCAGAATAGCGTCCCAGTGCCTCTCAAGGCCAGCAGGCTGGCTTTGCCCATGGCCTCTCTCCGCTGGACCTCCCGCCCTGGCCTTGCAGACATTCTCTGTGGCCCGGCCAGGAGCTCCTCCCAGCCCCCAGCCATGCTCGGGGCTCCACACCTGCTCTGCCTCCCTGCTCTCCCTCCCCTTCATCCAGATGCCTCCCCTGATCCGCTCCTGACCCAGCCAGGCGACCTCCTGGGCTCCCTCCCTGAGGGCGTCAGCTCTGCCAGGTTTCCATATTTTAACAGCCTCTGCCGACCAGGTAGTTATCACCGCTGGCATCGTGCTGAGTGCTTAACCTGTGGGGTGACGGAGGCGGTCGGGCCCACTTCACAGGTGGAGAAAGGAGCACGAGGAGGTGAAGTCACTGGCCTGAGGGCTCCTCATCTCCAACTGGCAGGACAAGGTAGGCGGCAGGCTGGAGCCCAGACACCGGAAAGGGGGCAGACTGAGGTGCCCAGAGAAGAGGGGGTGCGCCCCATGGCGCCCGCCTTCCTGTGTCATCCCACCATGGGAGGAGGGGACCTTAGCCCACTCCTGCTGCCATCTATGGTCAGCCCTCGGCTTCCGAGCCAACTGCTCACTCTGTGCCAGGCACTGGGCCAACCAAACACTTTATCCAACCTACAAATGGTCCTGGGTCTGGAGGTGAGCAGGAAATGGGGGCCGATGGGAACTTGAACTCCCACCTGGCCCGGGCGCTCTCCCTCATCCCCTTAGGGAGGTGGATGCCACGGAGACTTACCAAGCCCTTTCCTAGCCAGGCTCCTTTGACACCYGATAACACTCCCAGGGATAGGTACTATTCACCCATTTTAGGGAGAGGGGAACTGAAGCTCTGAAGTCTTTCCTGGGACCACAGGCCAGTTCAATGACTGGCTTCTAGTTGATCTCCACTGCYTCATTCTCTCCTCCCTCAAGACACCTCAGCCAGGACTGGGGGACCCGGGAAGGTAGGCAGCAAGGATCCCCAGTGTCTCCTGAGACCTGGCTGGTCCTGCTGGGGCCCAGGTGAGTGAGTAAGGCCTCTAGGACCCCCACCCAGTCCCTTATTCACAGAATCTGCTCCTGGAAAGAGATCAGCTACAAAGCCCCACAGCTTCTAAGACAACTCCGCAGCCCAGGATTCTTATCTTGGGGGGTCCCATCCCATAGGTTTATGGTTGCTCCAGAGGGGGGCCACCCTGGCCTCTGCACCCAGATGCCTGAGACCTTGCCTGGGCTCAGACTGGGGTCTTGGGGAGCCTCCCCCATCTCAGATTTTGCAAGGCGGGCTGGGCCACAACAGCCTCCCCAGCCATGTTTGTGTACCCCCAGCAAGTCTCCCCATCCCCGCAAAGGCCCCTCCCCCCATGCTTCCATCTCCAGGTCCGAAATCTCCATGCACATTCCTCACACTCTCCTTCRGAGCAGACAAGAATCTAGGTGATGCCCTTCTGCCAAAATGAAGATGGAGCTGGCTCACTTCCTATCACTCCCTGGGCAGGGCCCAAGCTTCCTCCCAAGCCTCTTCCCAACCCTTCTGCAGGCAGAGCACTACAGGGTCTTTTTCTCTTTTTCAGGATTGAGACACAATCCGATGGTGTTAGCCAGCTGGCCCAATTCTCTCCCGTACCCACAACTCAGAGAACGGACCGGGGCTCCTCCACCTTCCAACCCTGGCCAGCCTCGCCGCACCTTTCATCTTCCCTCTCCACACTTGGGCCACGCTGGCCTCTTTTCCGCTGTGCAGAAGCACCCAGCTGGGCGCTGCCCGGGGGATCATGCTGTTTGCTGGGCCCAGAAAGCCCTCGCTGCCGGGTCCCATTAGGTCGGTTGGCACCTTCCCTGAGAACCTCCTTTGCCGTCCCTCCCGGCACCTCCACCCTTCCCCTAGTTCCCTGATGGGTGGTCTTCCCAGCACCGTGGAATGATGAGATTTTCTATTTACACGGTTCTTAGAAACCGTCCACGCAGCAGCTAGGTTGTGGACTCCGTAGGCCTGGGGCCCTGCTGCGTCCCCAGCCCTGGTACGTCGGTGGCACCAGTGGGCGCCCGCCCCGATTTGCCCGTGACGGGCCGACACTCCGGTGGCGCTCCGCCCGTCCACACATCCGGATTCCCCGCGTCACGGGGCCAGGCTCGCCCCCACTCGCTCCCGCCCGTTTCGCAGCCTCGTCCTTGGGCACCAGAGCCGCCCGGGTCCTCGGGGGACCAGGGCTCTCTCGGGAAGGTGGCCCGGGCCGCAGACCAGATGGGAAACCCCGAGAGGCAGCCCGGGAGGAGAGCTGGGGGACGCGGGGGCTGCATTTGGGGGCCAGGGCGGTCATGGCCGCGGAGGCGGGGCCGGAGCCCGTCGCGAGGGTGGCGTTCGGGGCGGTGTTCGCGGCGCGGGGCGCTCTTACCTGGGGGCGCAGGCGGCCGGGCACACCGAGGGCCGCGGCGGGGCGGGGGACGGCGCGCCTGGCGGCTGACCCGGAGAGGAAGCAGACGCACCGCCCGCGCCAGGCAACCGGACTCTGCTCCCGGCCGGGCAGCGGCCCCGAGCCGCGGGAAAGAAAGCTGGAGGGGGGCGCGGGGCGGGGCCGGGGCGGGGCCTGGAGGGCGCAGCCGGAGGGGGCGGAGCGTGAGGACCTCTCGGAGCTCGCCCCCACCCCGCGCAAGCAGCCCTCTCCCCTGGCCCCGCCCCTATCCGCCTGGCCCCGCCCCAGCCCCAGCCCCGCCCCGCCCCCAGCCCCGCCCCGCGGCGCGCCAGGCGCTGGTCCAGCCACGCGTCGGAAGTCTGCGCAACCCGCAGCATCTTCTGTGGGCGCCTTCTGGCCCCTGCTTCACCCTGCCCACGCGCGGCATGTGCTCGCGGCCCTTTCTAGGTCCCCTCTTCTGATCAGTGTGCTCTGGCCCGCGCATCTGCGCACACCCSGGCGGCCGCCCCAACCCTGGGGGTGCACTGCTAGGCTTTGGAGGAGAGGCCTATACCCCTCCACAGGCCTCAGTGACCACCTCCCGCCCCAAGTCTGGGGACCTCATGAAGTGAGGCGCGCGCAGGTTCAATCGCAGGTTGGGGAGGTGGAGAGGGCATCCTGAGCAAGGCTGCGGTTGGGTGGAGTGCAAGGGTCAGGCAGCCGAGCGGGGGAGATAAAGTCTGGAGATAGGCAAGTGTGGGTGGTGGTTGCAGCCTTGACTTGAACGAGGGCAACAGGGAAGGAGTCTGGGCCTCCCCTTGCCTGGCGAAACCCAATAGAAGACAATCCCAAGCCCCGCTGTTGCCAGTTGAAGGGAAGAGGTTTCCAACGGGGTGTCTGTCACCTTCCGACGTAAGCCTTTCCGTGAATCCCTGAATCCGAGATTCAGACCCCAGGGCCGAGGCAGGAAGTTGAGATCTTAGATCTTCCTGACCTTGGCACCTTAGGCAGGTTGCTTAAATTCATTGAGATTTTATTTCCTGGCCTGGGAAGGGGGAGGGGCTGGAGACCTCTGCTGGCAGGCAGCAGAACCTGTCGCCCCAGTCTAGCTTTTAGCAATTCCATCGTGATCCCTCTGCTAGCCCCTAGTGAAAATGTGCATCCCTCTCCCCCAGGTTCTCAAGGTATCACCTCCCCTGCTCCCACACACCACATTCACCTTTATTCTCCCCCCATCCTTCCAAAAGTCCTTTTGCACATCCAGAAAAAAAGAAAGCCGAGGCGTGACTTTTCTCAGGTACTTGGAACATGGCAGCCGTGATACTGCCAGTAACAGGAGAGATATTGTGAAACCAGGTAGTGCAAGCCTCCAGGAAGAAGCCACAGATCCACAGAGTAGTGGGGGATTTGAGTGGAGAGATTTTGGGGGTGAAAGATACGGTGTGGGTCAAAGGCAGGGTGGCTGGAGCAAGGATTCAGAGATGAGTCTGACACAGAGAGTGACCACTTACCGAAAAGAGGTCCCCTAAAGCCAAAGGAATGGACATCTCACAGGGGAAATAAGAGCCAAACCTGCTCTCAGTCTGGTGGGTGAGCAGCCAAACTAGAACATGAAGCATTAGAAGGTGCTCGGTCTTCAAGGCCGCGGGAGTGAGATAGCAATGGGGAGAAGGGAGGCAGGGAGAGTCCCTCATCCTCCTGCGACCATGTGGTGGGCAGAAGTGCCCGCTCTAAAAACATAACACAGAGACTTTCCCAGATAAGAAGGGTGCTCCAAGTGGTGAGGCAAGAGGCGTCACATGTGCAGAAGAGTCACCCATAACCCACAGTCACCTTCACCTTATCAGCACCACCTTTGGTGGAGACTGAAGGTAGCGTGAAGAAGCATGAGTGACGGAAGTCCCACCTCTGCATGGCACAGCATCAAGAGACGGAGGTCCTGCCTTCCCCCAGATACCATGAAAGCCACACCCCTTTGTTCTTTGCTGGGGCTTCTGTCCCCCGAGTCCTGTCCCTTCTGGCTTGAGCAGAAGTCTTTAACCCAGCCTCACCTGTGTTTGATAATTTCCAGGTCCACTGTTGGTTTCTATAACTCTGGACCCAAGAGTCCAGAGCTACCAAGGTCGGTGAGAAGCCTGGCAGGAGAGAGCAGGCGGGACCTCCTGCAGTTGGGCAGCTTCTCCTCTGCATCCCCAGGCCTGACCCCCAGCCTGAGAATGGACGGGCATTCGGTTCAGAGACGGTTTCCTGGAGGAGGTGACTTCTCAGACCTGAGGGATGAGTGGATGGGGTGGATGAGGGTCTGTCCCAGGGGCCCCCAGGACTCTGGGGAGAGGCACCATGGGATTCAGAATTGGGTTGCATGGGATATCGGGGAGGGAGTTCCCCCTGAGGGCCTGGTCCAGGGTTGGCAGACAGGAGGGAAGAGACTCCAGAGGATTTAGAAGTCAAGTTGCCAGGAATTGGGGGCTGGTGGGAGGCCAGGGTGTGGCCGGGGTGGGCCGATGGAGCTTTGGAGCTTGTGAGTCCAGCGTCAGTGAGGGCCGAGGGAAGGCCAGGGCTCCCTCCCTCTCCCGCTCCCTCCCCCTTTCATACTCTTTGTGATCTGGTGATTAAATGTGGGACTGAGATAAGATGAAGGAAACTGTAAGCCGCAGGACAGCTGAGGGTGTGTGTGTCCTCACTTCTCCCAGCCCGCTGTGAGCTGGCCCTAGGCACAGGGCCTTTTCCAGACCCAAGACCCACACAGCCAGGCCCGAAGGCCGGACCCTTGACAGTGGACCTGTGTTAGGTGGAATGAGGAGCACTCTGCTGTGACCACACGCCCTAGCCTCTGACAGACAGAGAGACGGTAAGGCCCCTGAGATGGGGGATCTTCCTGGATATCCAGGGCCCAGTGCTTGGGACCCCAGCCCCTCTGCCATCCCCAGGACTACTGCCTGTTCTAGTGGGTGTGGAGAGCAAAGTCCAGAATGTCCACGTCTCCCTTTCTCTGCTGGCCCTGCCAAGTCCACCCCTGGGCCTCACCCTCCAGCCCCTAGCCTGGCCTCCTTTGGTCCCTCGTACTGGTCAGGGTTCTGCCCTCCCAGCTTCGGCTGCTCTGTCCTCTCTGGCACAACCTTTGCCAAGCAAGAGTCCTGCTCTCCATGTTGGGGGACTCTGTGCCCCAAAGACAGGAGCCTTCAATTAAGACAGAGTTGGACCCACAGTTGGGTTGTGTGACTGTTGGTGTTGACACAGCCTCTCTGAGCCCAGTGTCCTCCTCTGGAGGACGGAAGAGGATCATAATGGGTGGAGTGGGCCGGGGGAAGCAAGTACCTGGAGTGGAGAGAAAACTGTCCTCACATGGCCCTGACCAAAAGGCCTGGAAGGGGAGCAGCGAGGGCATAGGAAAGGGAGGGTGAGGGTGGAAAGGCCTCCGCATTGGCCCTCTGCCCTCAGTGGGAGGGCCTTGTCCTGCTCCCCTCCCTGTAGCCTGCTCCCCCTCCACAGTGCCCCTCATTCCCTGTCTGTCACGGGTGCCCCTTCCAGTGGTCCAGCCCCCAGGGCAGGGCCTGGTGCCCCCCGTGCAGGTAAGGAGAGAAGAGAGGGTGACCSGGTGACACGGTGACGGGGTGACGGGGGAGATGCTGGGTCCGGGGACAGGCTGGGACTGCGGGCGGTGTCGTCTGTGTGCCTACGTGTTCCTCTCTGTGTTCCTCCGTGTGACCGTCTGAGTGTGTCTGGGTGCGTGTCAGTCTCTGGGGACGTGTGTGTGTCTTTGTGCATTTTGGGGTGTGATTTGTGCTTCTGGGCTGGTGCGTCCCTACTCTGTCTGTGTGTCTGGTCACACGTGCGCATCGCGGTTTCTTGTGTGTGAGTGCCTGACCCTCTCTGTGTGTCTCTGTGTGCCTGGGTGTGGTCTGTCTCCATGTGTCTGGGGACCTCCGAGCAGGGACCCGCTCGGCCTGGCCCTCCCCAGCGGAGCTGGTATTGGAGCCTGCGCTCTTCTCTCCAGGTGGACTCTGTCTCTTTGGAGGCCTGGTGTGGCCCCTGCCCTCCTTTCCTGCTTCTCACCTCTTCCCAAGCACCCTCTGGGCTCTGCCTCTCCTTCCTCCCCTTCCCGGAGTAGAGGCTTGGCACGGAGCCTCCCTCCACCTCCTCCTGGTCTTTGCTCAAGTCCCTCAGGGCAAGCTGGCACCCAGCACGTGCAAGGGAAGGAGAACCAGTTTACAATGGTGATGCCTCCTGCCAGCCCGGGGCCCCATGCCCGACTGTGGTTCCCAAAGGCTGGATGAGGTAAGGGCCCCAGAAACCCAGATGCTGAAGGGATGGGGGGAAATCATGACCTGGAGCAGCAGGTGATTTAAAATTCCCATTTTACAGATAAGCTCAGAATGGTTCAGTAAGCTGCCTAAGGCCACACAGCCAAAGGTTGGGGGGAATAGATTTCTTTGGCTTCAGCTCCGCCTATGGGCCTCCCTATTCTGCAAATAAGAAAACCTGGACTAGGAGGACTYGGGTGTGTCCTGGGATATGGGATTTCAAGGGTAGTGCCGGGACAGTCCTGAGCAAACTGAGATGACTGGCCACCCTACCAAGAGGTGAAGAGATTTGCTCAAGGACACACAGTGAGGACAAGAGTCCCTAGGCCAACACCTGCTTGTCCAAGATGTCACCCCCTTTTCCTAACCAGACTGGGAGAGGGCGGGACCTAAGGGGAGCTAGGGGACCCTGGGCTGGGCAGTGCTTGACCGTGGTCCCAGCCGCTCAGGCACGGAGGCCGGAGGACCGCGTGAGCGTAGGAGTCAAGCCAACGGCAAAGAGAGAGCTGTGTCAAAAATAAAATATATAAACAGGAGATGGCAGTCTCCAGTCTGCATTCGAATGTTTCTCTTCTGGACGAGTCAACACATTAGATTCAAAAGCTGCAAAAAGGTTGACTAAGGGAACGTTTTCTCCTGCTGGGTCTCCCAGGCTCCTGCAGGCTCAATTTCTTGGTTCTCCTTCCTGAGAGAGCCTTTGTGTGTAAATATGGACCTTTTTTTTTAAACAAAAAATTTCATTTTGCACATTCTTCTGCACCTTATTTTTTTTTTATTTGTACCAAGTTTTCATTTTTTTAAAATATATATGTTTTTAGCGTAGTTGGACACAATACCTTTATTTTGTTTACTTA